CAATGATTCCTTTTCGGCGTTTGAGGACCTGCGTGATTCGCTGCAATTCGTGATGTTTCGGAAGATGGCTTGCGAATTTCCGGCCGAATTCTGACACCTCTGACGAAGCTCTTTTTCAGCGCAATCAAAAGTCTTGACGATATCCTGTCAAGCGTCGGGTTCAGCTGGAAATGAAACGTGAATACATTTTCTTGAGGTTGAAAGTATGCTTTTTTTTCGCGCAGTGAATTTTTTGTTCGTACGAAGGGCTATACTGCATGAAGTGTCGTGAACTCGTTGTTGATTTTTCGCGGTTTGCAAAAAGAGATCGCACCGTTTTGAACTAAGAATGCGACCCTTTAAGTCCCCGTAAATTTTATCAGAATTATAAAATATCCTGGCAGAAGTTCCCAGGTAGCTTCCTTGATGCAAATTTCCTTTTAAATTTAAGTTGAGTGAACTATTGCATATATACTCGCGTCAAACAAGATTTTCGTTGTTGCAAAGAATATATATTGCGCAAAAAAGCACACCTCGCAAGTCAACGATTCCAAGTCGGCCTCGGCGACTGTCACGCAACGCTTCTTCTTCGGGTCGAAAATGAGGTTTGCAGAACACGGTCTCAAATACGGGATCGTATTTGCACACTGATAATAATAATGGCAACTCGGTTCGTACGGAAACAATCCATCCTCCTCGCACACATATCCAGGCTGCACGGTAAATGTCGGTTCTGTCGGTCTCACCGTGGGTTCTGATTGAAAAAGCCAAAAATATATGAAATGAAAGGAATAAAATGGTCAACGATATTAAAAATGAAGGCTGTTCTGGAGATGAGAATGCTGTGGGGGAAATTCAGCAAAGATTTTTCCTCCTCTCGAATTTTTTTTCACTTCTATTTTTAAAAATTCTAGCAATCTTTCATTTTGAAGGGATCACCCTTTTTTTCTGTGTATCCTTTTATTGGTGCTTTGTTTGAATTTTGGTAGAAATTAATTTGATTATTTGTGCTGTGTTATCAGGGTTTCTTTTGTTAATCATTTCTTTGATGTTCAATCATTTAGAAAATCATCTGGAAAAACTAGGAACATGTATTCATAGTGACCCCTTGCATTGATGTTCCTGTGATTTTTCAAAAGATGTTCTGTGATTTTTTGAAAGATTTTTGTATCCAAGGTGACTCCTTGTTTACATGTTCCCAGCTGCAAACCCCCTTATTTTCTGTGTTTCAATTTCATTCCACTATAGAACTGCAGCATTGTCTTCTGTTCTTTTGCTGGT